GCTAGATGGTTGCAAGAGAAACCAGAGCAGAAGAGAAGGAGTGATGAACATCATGTAGCCATTTTAAAATTATAATAAAATGACAGGATGTTGTTAGAGACGTATGCCAGCTACCTGGGAGTAAGTACTGGCCAGACTGTTGATGCTGGAACTGCGACTGGGTGGTTTCCACAGGTGGCCAGGGGAGTTTGCACTTCCCAGTGTCCTCCTGTTGATCAGAAAAGAAATGTAATACTGTAAACATTCACCCTTTTTTCTGTAAAAATGTTTCCATACTTATTCAGATATCTGACAGATAATGTTTATAGTTTTTATTTGCTAAACGTGTTGGTTTTGAGATTTGTCTCATTTGTTACCTTGCAAAAGTGGGCCAGGAGGCATCAAGATCATGTCCTCGAGAAGCCACATCAAACTGGACCTCATTGAGCTCATACAGGTGGTTGATGATGTCGACACTAAGGAGGGACTTCAGGAAGGGACTTCTGGCATAGTACCAGTCACTGTGGGAAGAGAGAAGAGGGAAAGGTCAAAGCAGGACACAGGGGAACAACTAGAGATAATAACAATGTCAGTAAAAGGAAGTTTTGTGTCATGTTTTGAGTCTTCACTTTCATAGGAGGAACCTGACACCTGAACCTGTAGCGAAAACTGACATCCTCAAAACCATGGAAATGGCCTGTAGTGCCAAATAACAGTGATTAAAATAAAGATTCTTCCTTATAGTGGTGTACTTCTTTTGACCTCAGGTACATCATTAACAGTAACGTAATACATATTAATAATTAAGCTGCTCTTTACTTTCTACTACTACTGACCACTGTTTCTACTGAAGCAGTAAACCCATTTCATGGAAAGGCAAAATGATGAAGTGGAACAACACAGCAAAACATTAACATTAAGTTTTCAAAATACAAATAAGGAAATGACATACATCTACATCAGACTGCATGAATGTTGCCACACTTAACTTATCTGTTTCTCATAAACCAACACAAAAATTGCCATTTTATTTTGCTACTCAGTTTATTTTAGATTCAACAAAATCAAAAATTAAAAATACTTTGCAAAGGGATGTTTTTAGGCTGTGACCATTTTACCTGGTGACTCTCTGGTTCATTAGGCACTGCTGCAGCGTGTCAGCCAGTCGTTGATGTACGAGAGAGTAGCGAATAAACGCTCGGCCTTTCCCTAGAGACGTCTTCAGCTGTCAAAACAAAGCCTTGTTTTACACAGAGCATTTAACCAATGTTTACTTCATCCTCATTCTCCAGGGGTTTCACATGTCAAGTGGAAAACCAGTCACGCTTGAACACTTTTATATTTAATTCAATGGGAAACTGTGTTCAAACGTTTAACTGAAAATTCATTATTTCATTATTTACAGCATAACTTGACCAAAAAATAATGTATTTAATGTCAACATAACTGTTCAAAAACAATATCAAATTAAGTTCTTCTAATGTAACGCCTACTGTTTTGTCATCTAACAATTACAGCACACATTGTCCTGCTTTTACATCACAGTTTCAGTGATGCGACACATCAGTGCCAAGACTTAAATCGTTTTGCCTCTCATATATTGTAAGCAATGGTTTGTAAACACCAATATAAAAAATACAATCTCTTTATGTATGTTGCTTTTTTCTGTATGCAATAAATTTTTTGAGAAGTAATCTAGAATTAATAATGTTCAATATATAATCAGCGTTACATTAGTGATGTCATTGTAAACAACATTAAAAAATCTCATACCTCAGTGATGGATTTGACAAAGCGGATCCCATCATTGGCTCCTTTAATCTTAGCCAGACAATCATTGAAGTAATCCCAATAGTCCTTCTTTGTACCAAGAAAGGTGGTCTTCTCCTTCTGGTCAAACTAAAAGATAGACAGACAGCTGGAACAAAAAACTGTTGCACATGGATTATTTCTGAGGTACCTTTTACTTTTTAGCAACAAAATGAGAAGAACAAGAGGCACTTTGGTTGATGAGTTTTCTACCCAAACACATCCATTTTGGAACTAATCAAACTGTTTTTATTTTGAAAGCATTTCTTTTGTACTTGCGTCTGCCAACATTTTTTAACTTGTGATATTTCATGTAATCTAATGTAATGTAATAGTAAATGACTTCTCACATTTTCAGTGAATTACTGGGATTCATACCTGTAGCAGGTACTCAAGCTTGTAGGAGAATTTTTGCAGGTTGGTGCTATCATCTGTGATTGGCTCCCCACTTTCTCTGTACTCTTTTGCAAGCTCTGTTACAGCCTCTGAAATTCACAGATGAAACACAGACAAAAGTTTATCGGTGGATACATTTATATTAAACATGTAACAGAAACACCTTGGAGATCAGTTATAAAAGACATTTGTCTCACTTACATTATATTATTTTAACAGGTAGGGTTCATGGAGACAGTATACTAACACTGTTATCAGGGACACAAGTAACAGGCAAGCAAATGATGAAAAAAACAAACAAACAAGAGAACAGAAAAGAAAAGCAAAATAAGAGTATTTTCACCTCTTGGTGAAATACTGTTACACATGCACACACCTCCCTGGTGCCTAAGTCACCTCTTTTTCCAGTGAAAACTCTTTAGTTTTAGAAGGTACATTAAAACCTGCCTTATAAAAACTGGAAGAACACCCTTGATGGATGCACCCTCAGCAAGCACTCTGTCTTGCTGCATGCTGACAGAGGCTTCCACCACACCCTCACTACACAGGCATGAGGCTGGATCCTTGTTTTCTCAAATGATTTGATGACCAAGAGAGGTCAGATGGCTCCAGGGGTAAATGGCTCCTGGCTAAGTTTATTACATGATAGTAAACCCCTCTGACTCCCCTTCTTGCCTTTCTTGTGTTCAGTCACACCATTTCATCCAACAACAGCCCACACATGAATAGACACACACAGATAAAGCTGAGGTACCATGCAGATCTCGGATAATCCTCTGGAGTTGGCTCTCCCCGACGGCAACCCCAGTAGCCATGGCCCCAGCACTCAGTCCCTGGCAACCAGAGGTCACAGGGTCACATCCAGTCTGCTGAATGAGAGAATCAGAATCTGTCAGGAACAAAAGACTGCCATGAACAGTCCAACATAATCTCTCATGCACAGGCACACCTATACCACTCATACAAAAATTTGTTACACATTATTGACAGTTGCCATGATGGGTACACAGCAATATTCACTGCAGAAAACTGAGCACTTAGGCCTGAAAATCAGTCTGACAGAGATCTAATGGTTTGTCAGTTATATCTATATAATCTGTAGGTAACAATATCACTTTACACAATCTGATCTTCTGAGTACCAACTACTATTCATCTTTTATTCCTATCTGTCAAAGGATGTTTCTGTAAATAATGCATTCCTAAACAGATAAAAACACAATCATATTCTTGCATAACTGCAACAGTAATAAAGTTACTCCAAACAAGGACAGAGGCATGGTGGCAATTTTCTCAATCTTTTGGTTTTACTTTAAAACCCTTAAAAACCTGATATCACTGGATGTTGATTTAAATAGATTAACCTAGGTCCTAATCTTATCAAGTATTACCTGACAAGAGATACTGTGTTATTCTGTGCACATCTACTTGGAGAGAATTTGAGGGTTATTCTTCACTAAAATCAAACTTCATTAACCATAGGAAACGAGACATATGACAAAATATATTTTAACACACAAGCACTTTTGTCAAGGTTAGCTAAATCACCTTTTGGTTTGTTTAACTTTAGATTTGTTAAGCTAGCATCTAATTAGACTTGTGTCTCAACAGTTTGAAAACAATAAGAACTGCCTTCCAACACTATCGGTTTTCACTGATTTAATATTACTTTTCTAATGATATCGATGAACGACAGCAGAAGAGTTTTGTGTTTATTAAGTTTGTCTCAGTAATATTTAGCTTCGCACTGATCCTTTGACAGACCTTTTGAAAACATCGGTGATATTAGCGGTACAAAATAGCTTACAATATTGTTATAGCATTCTATGTGTCTAGATTGCTCTTGATGAAAAACAGTTAAAATGTAACATACTTTTACAGATATGACTGAAGCCCATTAAAAACCGAGACCATTTTATGTGCTCACGCAAACTTGTTGTAACTGTCCTGATTGACAGAAGACCATCCACAGAAAAAGCACTATGTATGCCTTCTGACCAATTGCTATGGAGTTGGTAGGCGGGACGGGGAAACTGGATAGTTTGATTGTCGTAGCACAGTAAACACAGGAGTCATGTGAGCTATCGCTCAAATGTGTGTCCTACTTTTCTGTGGTGCTTTGTTTTTTGACAATATATCGACATAGCCGTGTTGGTTTAGTTGAAGGGACTTGACCTTGTTGAGGAATTGACCGTGTTGAGATTCTGCTACAAATCTTTAAAATATATTTGTACTGTCCACAATAGAAATTTACATTTTATTGTGTATAATATGAAGCCCATTACAACTGCACCCCTGTTAAAAAAGTTTAGTTTAAAGTTTATATATACACGCACACACATACATATATATGTGTATATGTATATAAATGTGTGTTTACATATACACACACACACACACACATACAGTGGGTACGGAAAGTATTCAGACCCCCTTACATTGTTCACTCTTTGTTATATTGCAGCCATATGCTAAAATCATTTAAGTTCATTTTTTTTCCTCATTAATGTACACACAGCACCCCATATTGACAGAAAAACACTGAATTTTTGACATTTTTTACAGATTTATTAAAAAAGAAAAACTTATATATCACATGATCATAAGTATTCAGACCCTTTGCTGTGACACTCATATATTTAACTTAGGTGCTGTCCATTTCTTCTGATCATCCCTGAGATGGTTCTACACCTTCATTTGAGTCCAGCTGTGTTTGATTATACTGATTGGACGTGATTAGGAAAGCCACACACCTGTCTATATAAGACCCTACAGCTCACACTGCATGTCAGAGCAAATGAGAATCATGAGGTCAAAGGAACTGCCTGAAGAGCTCAGAGACAGAACTGTGGCAAGGCACAGAT